AATTGGGATTGTTCATAGTTTATGTCACCATGACTTCACTGCAACTCTGTGATGAAGGGCAAAAGAATTTGGCTGGGGCAGAGGGGATGCCCTGGCCTTGGGGCACCAGCACAGGCTGGCCTGGGGCTGAGCATCCTCCATATCTGGCAACTCTTCCCCCTCTTATGCACATGCATTCAGTTTTGTGTGTGGACGATTCACCTTCCTACTGTGTATGAGTTAAAAGCAAAAATTTTGTCTTTAAAATATTCCTTGAGATTTGGTAAATGGATGTGCCAGGGAAGCTCTGTGTGAGCAGAAGTATGATTTAGCATCTGTTCTCCCTGTTAGAAAGTGCCCTGTTGTACTTGGGGTGCCAAGGAGGATTTGGCAGGGGGGAAAGGTTTGACTCACCCAGGTGCCATCCCCATCAGCACGGAGGATTTACAAACCTGGCATCCTCTCTTTCCATCTCCAAATCACAGCACAGAGTGAAACGCAGTGATACGAAAGATTAGTCTTCATTCGGCAAAGTAATTGCCAAATTAAATTATGCCAGATGGAAAAACTAAAGGCCACGGTGTCAGGGGTCTGTCCATAGCCCTGGGCTTTAGGAAGAGGTAAATACACAGATCTCAGCTGGCGCTGCAGGAGGTACGTGTCCGGCGGAAAGCCGGCGCTCGGACTGTGCCGAATCGATACATGCTATCGAAGGGAGCAGCGCACAGCGTTAGGGCCAACCCAGTGTTATTAGAAAATGATATATTGCACATTAGGATGGATAATTCACGTCGCCTTCATCGGCTCAGACCGTCGTGAAAATCCATAAATCATATTCTCGTTCATGTATCGCCTAAGTGCGATTTGTCACTCGGCATTAGCGGCAGGGCTGCCGCGGATCCCTGCCGCTTCCCAGGCACCGCTCGGAGACCCAAAATGGAGACCCGGCTGCGCTTGGAATCGCGGGGGCAGATCGGATCCCCGGGCTGCGGGCCCCCGGGGAGGGCGGGAGGCGGCTCCCCCGCGCCTATACACGTGTATGGATATAAATATGTGTATGTTCCCGCGTGGCTGCTGCCCCCCGGATCACGCCGTCTCTGCAGGAGCCGCGCGTGGGTGTCGCGCCTCGAGCGCGCGTGGGGAGCGCTCCGAGCCCCGGGATGTGTTGTCCCCCCCGCTGTCTCCGAGGCTTCCTCCGGCCCGCAGAGGCGGACACGGACACGGACACAGACACGGGCGGGCTCGATCTCCTGGGTTTCGCCCGCGTTCCTCGAAGGCAGGAGAGGTGTCCGCTCTGGGGGCTCAGGCGGCGGGGAGAGAAGGGCTAGAGCCGGGCTGCCCTGGGTCGCGTTCAGTGCCGGGCAGCGGCCGCTTCCCTATGGGCATCCAGAGGTCCCCCAGGCAGGAGAGGCACGATCTCCGCTGCCCGCGCCGGGAGCTGGCGGCAGCGGACGGGCAGGTGAGCGGCGGCGCTTCTGCATGGGAAGGGAAGGCAGCGAGGTCCCCGTCCGCATCCAACGGGCAGTGGGATCAGCCAGGGCATTCTGACGAAATTTTTCAATTTTTCTGGAAAACACCCACCGGAACCGCCCCGCCAACTATGCCCCGCGCTGCCACAGAGCCCCGGAGTGGATAAGGAGCCACCCTGAAGGGGAGAACAGGATGCAATTTGGGGGAGAGAGGGCATCTCCCTGCCTGCCGCGCCGGCTGCCGCTTCCCCGTGCCCCGCTCCCGCGGCGAGGCGGCACCGCTTGCCGCAGCCGCACAGCCGGCCGCGGGAGCGCGGGGCCGGGCGGGGAGGGCCG